CTCCTTCCCGGCACCTGCATCTCCGCTGACACGTCACCTCCTCAGAGAGGCCTTGCTACCCTCTACCCTCCACTGGGTTTTACCTCTTGGCAGGGCACCACTACCAGAAACTTGCACGGTCCTTCCCGCGTCCCTTGTATGATACGCTGCCAGCAGGTGCTCAGTAAATACTCCCCGAATGAGGAGGACTTAGAGACCCGAGTTCAGTTCTCAGTGTGCTGTGTGACCTTGGACAGGTCACGTGCCTTCTCCAGGCCTCGGTTTTCCAACTACGTGTGAAGGGGATGAACAGCCTCCTGAGGGCTCCTCGGGTCTGTGAGTGGTCGATATGTCACACCTGGGGGCTGGGACAGACTGACCGGGGCCACGGGGTGGGTGGGGGGTGGTACGTGGGGCCTGCCTGGGTGGCCCGAGGGAGGGGACTGCCTGACTTCAATGACTTCATGATGTTGACTTCATTCTTCCAGTGAGTATTTATTGAGCACGTATAGCATGCCAGACTCTATGTCATGCACTGGGAGGAGAAGGAGAGGTTCTAATAGGATTAAAGAAGCTTTGAAAATAGATCTTCTTTGATCTGGACTAGTAAATAATTATAAACACCAGTTGGCTCCTCTTCAAGAAGGGACCCATGAAACAATAAGACTCCTCCCAGCTCACACAGGCTGGGCACTTACTCCGCGTACCAGGGCTGTTCTCTTTGCTCGCATAAATGACCTCACTGTCTTCACGGGAACCCTGCAGAAGGGCTCTGATTACCTCCAAAAAGGCAAATGAAAAACAGAGTCGTGAAACAATTCACCCAAGGTCACCCAGAGACTGGTGGTTAAGGCCAGGCTGGAGCCGGGGTCTGACTTGCAAATTCCCAAGAAAAGCCCGAATAAAGGTTGGAAGGTGCCTCTCATGGATTCGGAGGTGGTGGTGGTGAGACAAATTTCGGAGCCCGTGCAGAGTCAGACAGGCCCTGAGCTCACAGTGGAGCTACTCAGACCCCCAGAGCCTCAGGCCCAACAACACTGCCCTGTGTGGCAGGTCCAGCTACTCTAACACATCCACCCTGGGGCCCGGGAAGTGGGGACCCCCGGAGGCCCAGGCTCGGGGGAGAGAGACCTGCCCCGAAGCAGCCCTGGGGGCCTGGAGGGAGGGCCCGGGCCCCCAAGGGGTGGGGCCCCCTGACTTCAAGCCCTCTGACAGTTCCTTTACTGGAGGTCTGTCAAATCAGTTTTCCAGAGATGCCAGGCAGGCGGCAATGTGCCTGCTTCCAGCCCCAAGTGGAGGCTGGACGACAGGAAACACACACGGTGTTGGGGGTCTGTGGCCAGAGACCGGAGGTCAAGCCCCCTGGGAGGGGTGGGGACATCCCTGGGTGGCAGGGAGAGAGGGGACCCAGAGAGAAGGGGCTTGTGACCACGTACAGGTCTTTCCCTTCCCAAGGGCACAGAGCAGAAGCTGCACCGCGTGCGGAGGACACCCCCAGACCAGTGCTTCCGGGGGGCCACTCAGGGTACGATGGGTCTGCCAAACAGGTGTGGCTCCAATTTGCACCTCAGGCCACAAGCCACAGGCTGCCACCACCTGTCATGTGGCCCAACCGATGAGATGAGGAAGCCAGGTGCGGACCGGAGTGAAGGGTGGGGTGGGCCCTCCCCTGTGCTCAGACCCCTGCTGGGTCAGCGGAGGGAGGGTTCCTCTCCCCTCCTCCCCTGGAAAGCCAGCCCCGCGTGTCCTGCCCCTGCCACGCCCAGCCAGCTCTCAGAGCTTGGGACTTTTGATGTTTACAGTTCAAAAGGAGCTCCGCGGCCCTCGCACCAAGCCCAGACTTCATCTGCCCTCCTCGAGCTCCCAGCCGGCCAGTTAAGGCGGTTAAGATGCTGGATTAGGGCCGGCTTTACATAACAACGCAGGAGCTAAAGCTGTCCTCCCCTGGGATGGCTAAAAGACTTCTTTTTATCTTCATGCCTCAGAGGGCCTTTTTTCTCCCTTAAACAGCCCTCCAGCCCGCCAAGAGGCAATGAACTTGGCCAACAGGAAGACAAAGAAGAGATTCAGGATTCAGGCAGCACGCTCTCGCTTGGCCGGTAGCACAGGGGGACGCCGCAGCCCCCGCCCCGGGGCCAGGTGGGTGCTCCTCCGTGGCCGTGGCTAGGACCTGGGTGACCACGGAACCACAGACGGTCATGGGTCCAACATCCCTCCCACCAGCGTCAGGGCCACACAGGCCGGCCCAGGCGCAAACCGGAGCAGCCTCACCTACTCATCGCTTCCACTTTTTAATTCTGCTTTGAGTCTTTCAATCCATTCGTCTTGGGAAAGTTAAAACATTCGTCCCCGTTAATACTACAGCCCTCTCTCTTTGTGAGCTCTTTCCGGTTTTAGTTACCTCGTCCCAGGTCCAAGAGGAGCACCCGATCTTTGTCTGTCGAGCCCTCCAGCTATACAGCAATACGCACATGGTCTCTACTCACACACGTAGGAAATACGGAGCGTTATCGCGTGCCCCTTTTTACATAAAACATACTGGCCATGGCGTACTGCATCTCTCTGCAATCTGATCTGTTTTATGTTCTCTGCCTCTGTGTAAACTTTTGTTTGAAGAAAGAGGCCGAAGAGCTGGACCAACAACTTAGTCCGACCCCTAGTTGGGAAACTGAGGCAGGAGAGTGGCTCCTAACCCCCTCCCTCATGAGTGGTGGCACCGATGTGCCCGGACATCACCAGGGACTAGCAAGGTGCCCGGGCTGCCCTTCGAGCCCGGCGTGCAGCTGGGGGGCCATGGGGTCAGACCGAGTGCCGCCAACCTGACACCCTTTCCCCATCAGGAGCCGGGACCCTCGGGCGCCTCATCTTCATCCCCCATCCATCAGCCAATGTTTGTAAGTGCTGCCCTCCCCGCTGCCGCAGGGCTTCCTTCTCCCTGCAAGGAGCCCCTTTGCGCACCCATAGAGTCCAGCTTCATGTCCCCACTCATCATGTGACAGAGGGCAAGGGGGCCTAGAGCTGGGGGGGCCTGGCTGCGATCCACAGCAGGCTGCTACCAGGCCTGGGAGGGGACCCCGGTCTAGGTGCTTCTCGGCCAGCATTCCTTCTACATCATTCCAACGGGACTCACGCTCCGAATGTAGACACTGAACAAAGTAACCCTCCCCGCCAGAGGGAAGTGGATTCCATGGGTAGGCCATTTCGTGTCTGTTTGCAGAGAACGACATCCCATTTGAAATCAATTACATGGTTGTAAACTGAGCTTTGACGGACAGAGAAGTGCCTCCGGTGGGGCAGTAAGGAGGGGCTCAATACATGATGGATAGACAGACAGACGATGATTGGAGGATGGGTCAATGGATGAAGGGATGGATGACGGGGGATGAGCACACAGGCAGAGAAGGGAGTATGGATGGCTGCGTGGTAACTCAGAGTGGCCGGGCTGGTGGCCGGGGGACAGGAGAGCAGGGCGAACCATGGATGGATGGATGGGTGGGACATGGCCAGCGGGTGGGTGGGCGGTGGGACGGTGAGGAGTGAGGGATAAGTGAATGAAGGGACAGACAGACGAGTGGACTGGTGGCTGGTTGGATGGGTAGCAAACGGGCGATGGATGGAGTAGGTGGGGGGATGGATGAACGAGAGAATGAACTTGCTACTGAGTCACCATACGAAGGAGGGGGAGATGAATACATAATCGGAATGAGACCCGAAGCCCACGGAATCAGTGTCTGGGGTCACTCCAGTCCCCAGGGCTTACATCCTACCCACCTTTACCTGACTCCCCAGATGTCAAGGCACCAACTCTTGGCATCTCTCCATGGAGCCAAAGACAACAGCTGAGGCTTGGGGGAGCCCAGGGGAATGACAAAATTAAGGCTGCAGAGCCTCTGAGTGCAGTTACCAGCTCTGTAGGCTGCACAAAGCCTTCCATCCATGGGACTCCCCCCAACCCTTGATTCAGGACCTGCTCTTATTTGAACAAAGTTTGATAGATACCTGGGTCCCGGCCGGCCTCCAACTCCTGGGCAACTGAGTGAATCTCTTAAAACAGTGCTTCTCAAAGTGTAATGTGCACACAAGCCACCTGGGGAGCCTCTTCAAGGACAAATGGCCTGGGGCTGACAGCTCTCAGGCTGCATGTGGCCACAGCCCTCAGGTCTGGCCCAGGATCCCCTCGAGAAACTCTGGGCACTATGTGCTCCTCTCAAGGCCCTACGGGGCCCAAAGGCCTAGATCCCTGCCCCCGCCCCAGACCCTGGGCCCCCTGGCTCTCCTGCGAGCTGCCTGTCCTTACCTCCACAGCAAGGCCCCTACTAACCTAAGGCTTCCCCAGTTCAGTGATTCTCTTCTCTGAGTATAAAATGGAAATGCTATCTCACTTAGCAAATGCTTTCCAGTGCCATCTGTGTTCCGTACCCAATGCAGGGAGTCAAGCAGGGAGAAGGCTCTCGTTCCCACTCTGTAAGTGTGGAAACTAAGGCTCTTCTAGAAAAGTGGTGTGCCTTGCCCGAAGTCAAGTGAGGGCACCAGAGGCCGGCCCTCTGCTCCAAGGTCCTCCTCCTTCTACAAGGTGCCTCCCCTTGAACAAAGGCAGGAGAGAGAGCTACAGACATGGGAGGGGAGGGGCCGGTGGGGGGCTGTCTGTATGTGTTCTTGTTTGTGCTCCAAGTGAGTGCTGTGAACCAAGAAACGGGGAAATACAACAGCTACTTTATGTAGTGCTGTATGTGGTGTAGTATGGTCACCCCCCACCCCCCACCAAATGGGAAAGCTGAGCTAAAACAACCTGTCCAAGGTTCCCCAGCCAATCCAGAGCAGGGCCCAGATGGGAGCCTCAGGAGCCTGGCTCCACTCTGGGCTCGGACCCATGAAGGGCTACACCACCCCCACCGGGAGTCAGGGTCTTGTCCTCTGCCTGGTCTGCAGATTTTCTGGAGTGAACCTAGGGCACGTGGTGGACCAGACGGCCCCTTCCCCATCTCACTGCACCCTAGGAAGAGAGCAATGGATTCCAGTACCTTCTAGCCGAAAGTCTTCCTCTTCCTCCTCACTGAGCCTTTCTCTGAAAACTTCACCCACGAGCTCCTAGAGGAAGACAAAGCAGGGACGTTAAGTAAGTATCCAACAGAGTCAAGGAGAAAGCCAATATTGGGACGGTAAAGGTGGCTTCATGAACGTGTGCCTGGCTGGTCACAGGGAAGCAGGGGTCCTGCTCTGATTCTTCTGATGGGAATTTAGGTCAACTGAGGTGGATCCTGTCGCTTGAAAAGTGAATTGTCACCATGCTTTTTAGGAAGTACCTTTTTCTCAGCCTACAGCTCACTATAAAATACTGCATACGGGGCGCCTGGGTGGCTCAGGCCTTAGGCGTCTGCCTTCGGCTCAGGTCATGATCCCGGCGTCCTGGGATCGAAACCCCGCATCGGGCTCCCTGCTCGGCAGGGAGTCTGCTTCTCCCTCTCCCTCTGCCCCTATCCCCGGGGCTCGTGCTCACTCTCTCTCTCAAATAAATAAAATTAATTCAAAAAAAAAATACTGCACACTTCTCCCTCAGAAAGGAAGTTCCACCCTCTGCCCTGGAAAAAGACAGAGACAAGATGAGAAGAAGTCCCTCATCTATCCGTTGGAGTCAACTTTGATGGACTCAGGACCAACAAGCCTCCTCTGTGGGCCCCAGGAAGGGATCTCAGTGTGAATCCTTCCTCCAGCAGAGAATTCCAGGCGGGCTGTCTCCATGAGTTTGCAAAGAGGGCCTGGTGTGCACAAGAGTGGGTCTCTATGGCCCCTAACATAACCCCCCAGCAGTTCAGCATCACATTCAGCAGCCTGCATGCTCTGCCTCCTGGCTGATCTTCAGACATGCCTGCCGCCTCTCCCCAGTGCACACACATTCCAGAAACTAGCCTGATTCTTACACTGCCTTGCCCGGTGCCCCACGTGTGAGTTCAGGATGCCCGGTGGCAGAGTTGCTCCTGACCAGCCTGGTCATGCTGCCACTCGGGTGTTGTCAGGTTGGCAAGGGGAATTTGGTTAGCCCACGGGCTGGGAAGTTTCTGGAAGGTCGACAAAGGTACCACTTATCTCACCCTAACCCAGCAGGGTGACCCTAGATATGGAAGAAGCAAGACCAGCACTTGTCAGACCGTCTTCTGCATTATTGGTGTTCTGCCAATAAGAGTTCTGTGATCAAAAAAGATTGTTTTCAAGTCAGAGAAGATCCCTTGCTGAAGAATTTACTATGGTACTGGACACCGTGAATATCCAAGTGGTAACTTATACTGCATTCCTCAAACCTATTGAGACCATGGAGTTTCATGTCTCAAAAGCATCCCATGGGATCTGAGTTCCAAGGAACCCACTTTGGGAAATGCTCCTCTTCTGGGGAAGAGACAAAGTTTGGGAGGCTTACACCGCCTTATCTCTTTTGATGCCACAACAATGCTCTGGCAGCACTTCTAGAACCACAAAATGACAAGCAATAAAAAAGCCCAAAAGCAGCAGCTCTCACCAACTTCTCTTTTTGGGGAAAAAAAAGGTGCAAAGAGAAAGAAAAAGAGAAGGCACCCTCTCCTTGAAAAATTAGAAGGGGGAATAAAATCTCACACTTCAGATACTTAACAGAAACACCAGTGCTTGTCTTGATTAACAAAACCAAAATCATGCTTGGTAGAGCTGATCTTATCAGCTGGACACAGCTGGAGATAAGTCTCTAGTTTTGTTTTGTTTTGTTTTGTTTTGTTTTGTTTTGTTTTGAAAGGATCAACAGCTAACATTTTATGGATTAGGGCTGGTGTTCTCCATTCTCCCTCTTCTTCCAAATCGTCCTGGGGCATCACACTCTTTCCCCTGCAGGTTGTGAAAATGTCGTCAAACTCCTGGTGTCCCACTGACTTCAAAACCAGGCTCCTTGATTCCTGGAGTCTGGGCGGCTTCTCCCTCCACTTCCTCCGCCAATTATCATAATCACCGAACACTTCCTGGGCTTGTAAACTGGCTGTTTGTGTTAACAGCACCGGAGTTGACAGGGAAGCTGGGAGCCGGTGACAGGGACGGCACACACTCAGGCGGCATCATTAGGTGGCTGGGACACTCCGGCAGCCAATTAGAGGCCATCTTTCATGCCGGAGGAAGACAGATGCTGCCTCCCCCAGACAGGCTGGCAGGCAGCACTCCCAGGAGCTGGCGACCGGCTTCAAGGGGATCGTGCTGAGGTCTTCTGGAAAGCGGAGGTTCAGCGCTGACCTCGGCCCGCCACCCTGACCGCTCCCAGCGAGGCGGCCAGGACCTGCCAGGCACACGCCTGCGAGCGCTCGCGTCTTCTTGCGGCACACCTGGAGGAGTTTAGAGACTGCCAAGGTCTCCCGCAACAAAGCAGCCGTCTGGAACCCCAAGTAATGATGCCTCGCGGTGTGCATCACTGCACTCTGAGAACTGTCTGCAGGGAGGACCAACCTCCCTGACACAGTAAAGGCATGCCTCTGCATATGAAAGCAGAGTTCTGGCAAGTTCCGGGGTCGGCCTCTTCGTGCTAAACCCTACACCACTCTGTAGAACCGTAAAAGCTCCCCAGCACCAGGGTCCGTGGACTCGCTGTGAGGCACAGGTGCTTGATGCTGGCAAAAATCCCTTTCATCCAGGGCGCGCGGGTGGTTCAGTCGGTTGAGTGTCCAACTCTTGGTTTCTGCTCAGGTCATGATCTCATGGGTCGCGAGATCGAGCCCCGGCACAGGGCTCTGTGCTCAGCAGGGCGTCTGCTTGAGATTCTCCCTCTCCCTCTGCCCCTCTCCCCACTTGCTCACTCACTCTCTCTCAAATAAATAAATCTTAAAAAAAAAAAAATTCATTTCATCTGCTAAGCCAGACGCCCAGGGAGTGCACTCTCCGTGGTCCTCAAGCTTTGAATCACTAAGCCAGCAGCAATGCGGTGTGGAGCCAGACACAGGATCACATCCCGGCTCCATGGCCTCCCTTTGCCCTTGGACGTGGGGCCAGCCACTGCTTTCTTGGAACCTCAGTCTATCTCTCTGTAAAATGGGCTCAATGACAGGACAGCCGACCTTACTGGGCATCTCCTCAGCGCCAGGCACCATGCGAGACACCTTGTAAGGATATTTATTATCTCCCTCAGTCTCCACCATTGCCCAGCACTTTCCATCTCTCCAGGAATAAACACTCATAAAAATGATCTGCAATTTGTAAAGTGAGAGTTATAATTGTTACCCTTTTTTTTCCCGAAGAAACTGCCGTCAGTCCTCAAGGGACATAGGAGACAGGAGATAATGGGACCGAGAGCCACTCGTGTTATTTACCAAGTGCTCATGGTGCATGAGGCACCGACTGAGGGAATCCTCACAAGAACCTCCAGGGAATGGGGTTCCCAAAAGTCCTGTATTTAAATCAGGAGGAGGCTCCACGAGGCCAGGTGACAGGTTCTGGATCCTCAGCAGAGCCAAGATTTGAGCCAGTTCTCCCAGAAGCCTGGCCGGAGCTAGTACAGTGGAGTCAGGGTTCCTGTGGGCATGCGACAGAGGCGGCCAAAAGCCCTGGTAAGTCACTTGCCAGGGACCAGGGATCACGCTTAAAGATGTGCAAGGAGAACGGCCCTGCCACTAGCTCCGAGGGTGGTGGCCAAGGCCTCCTGTTTGTGCTACAGGACTCAAAGGGCCCACAGCTCCTCCCCACTGAGGTTGGGGACTCAACAGAGCTCTGGCCAGGAGACCTGCAGACAAGGTGTGGGGCCAGGCCCTCGGGACCATCTTGCAGGAAGGTACTCAGACCCCTCGACAGCCACGGGCCCCACGCAGAGCCCCACTGCAGAAGGTGCAGGGCATGGAACTGGAATTGGTCAGACCTCGGTTCAAATCCCAGCTCTGCTTCATACAAGCTGCACCATGTGGGCGAAGGAACGTTCTCAGCCTCCCATTTGTACACAGGGACGATAGTGCTCGTGATGTCTCAGGGTGGCTGTGAGGATTAAGTCAGTCATTGCATGGAAAGTGCTTGACATGACACCTGATACCACAACTGGGGCTCCATAGACCGATAGTTATTGTTTATCACTTCTTCTACTCCAATGGTCAAATAGCTACCAGAACATTGCTCAGAGAATCTCAAAGACTCACCAGCCCCAAGGCGCCCTCAAAGACACTGAGAAACAGTCTCCTACCCAGCACACTGTTTTTAATGCTTCACATTTAATCCTCCTGGCAATCCTTTGAGGTCATACCATTATTATCCCCACTTCACAGACGAGCAAACTGAGGCACAGAGAGGTTAAGCAACTTGCCTGAGGTCACACAGCTAATAAGGGTCAGAGCCGGGCTGGAAGGCAGGCGTCTGGCCCCAGAGCCCACACCCTTCCCCACTGCCCTGTAGGAAGCCCAAGTATGGGGCTTGGTATGAGCGACTTCCCTTCACTGCTCCTTTACTCGGCCGTCACTCTGGCCCCTGGTCCCCAGCCCCCTCTCCTCTGGCCTCCAGGACAGTCGGCATCAAACTAGGCTCTAAGTTGTTATCAAAGGCCTTCCTGGATCCCCGGACCTCCTGCTGCACCCAGCCTGATGCCAGGCTACCCCCTGCTTAGTGGCCAGGCTCGGTGGCCTCTCAGGCCACAGGGCCCAAGCCTCCCTTCCCTCCCTTCCCTCCCTTCCTCCCTCCCTCCCACGCCCCGGCACTGCTGATACTCTGCCCCACGCTGGGCCCCAGGAGGAAAGACCATCTCCTTCAGTCACTGAGTGTGCAGTCAGCGCCAACCCAGAGCCCAGAATTGCAGGCATAAGGCCTTATAAGGCCTCCGGGGACGGGAAACCACATCAAAGCAGGGCTTGGGAGCGGGCTGCAGTTCGGTTAAGGTTTTTCCTCTTTGTCTTTGAGACTCCTACTCCTGAGCTTCATATCTGCCCCCCACCGCCTGCCCAGCAGCTCTTTGTCAATGTTTCTGTTCTCTAAGAGCTAACAGATGTTGGTGCCACGGGCTTTCAAAGCAAACTCCTCGTGCCCAGAGAACACGGCACAACTTCTAGATCCCAAGAATGCACAGAACTGGGACATGCGGGGGAAGAGAGGGGTGGGAGGCACGATCCAGC